CTTACTCGATAAACCAAGAGCATAAGGAGGGTTATTTGGGAGAGTTGCAAGCGACTCTTCGATACTTTTTGATACTCCTATGTTAAACATGCGCGGTATCGATAGTTTCAAACGATACTTCAATACTTTTTGATACCTTTCTAAATATGCGCCAAATTAATTGGTTTTTATTAATTAATTAATTGGGTTTTCCAAAGAGAGTGTAACTACCATAATTATGTTTCACCCAAAAATACTGTAGTCATATCAATAGTATCGATACTTAGACATTTTCTAAAATCATATTTTGAAATCAAAATCAGCTGAGTACTGGTTTTCCATTCAACACTTGTAGCCTTTTTTCATTTTCAATTTTTGTACATTTGCTTTAATATTTATGTAAATTAATATGTTAATAAATATTGTATCGAAAAGTGAAGTATTTATGTATTGTAACGCCTGATACATAAGCCTTACTAATTGTATCAAAAAGTATCGATGTACGCTGCAATCGACAGTAACTGCTGCGTTCTTTTTTGTATTAAAGCTGTACATATAGTAGAGTTAACGAACTTGGAGAGTTAGCAGGTTACAGAATTTAGGTCAAAGTTCACCATCAGAGCTTACCCAATCAGCAGACAATTTGTAATTGAAATTCGCGCAAACGAAACCAGAAATGTAGCGCGTAAAATATTTGTTGATTACCATGGGATGAATAGACAAACAGACTGATGGATAAACATTTGCTGGATTGGCAAAATTTGGTAATTGCCGCAGAGCAGGTAGAAATACCAAAATATTCGTAGTACTGGCACCGTTGCTGCCGCATCTGCTGCTGCTGCTGTTGGTAGTTGGCGGATGCGGTTGTTGGCTGTCAATTTAATTTGACGCTAACATTCATATTCGAGTATAAAAGTTTCACGTTCGCCGACAAAGCTTGCCACATTGCTTGCCGAGGGTGCACGTTGCTGATGCAGTGACGATGAAGCAGATGCAGTGGGGGCAGAAGTAGAGGCAGAGGCGGCGACGGAGACGGAAGATGTTGCCAGTTTGGTCAAATTTACTTGTGACAACATTGCATTGGCCGATAATTTGCCATTGTATGTTGTTGCTGCTGTTGCCGTTGTCCCTGATGTTGCTGCTGCCGCTGCCGCTGCATGCCCGTAATAGTTGAGGGCTGTAATGAGCGGCTGTTGCTGCTGTTGCTGCTGTTGCTGGTGTTGCTGTTGCTGCTGTTGACTGCGGCGCTGCGACTGTTTGGCCAGGACGTAGTCTGTCGTTGTGGGCGTGGCAGCATTGCGTAACGCTATGAATGTGTCGAAATTGTCAGCGGTGGATGAGGCATTTGAAGTGCTGGAATTGCGACGTGCTGCCAAATGTTGTTGCTGGTGCTGCTGTTGTTGTTTCATTACTGGCTGCGGTTGAACGGTGGGTGGCAAATGTATTTTCAATTGGGGTGCCTGCGACACGGACGAGTTCGAGGAGGAGGAATTCGACAATGATGATGAGTTGACCGAATGGGCGGGCGGATGTTGTTGTTGATTTGCATAGTATTTGCGCAGATTCTCCAGCATGTAGCGATTATTTGCACTGCTGCCAGCTGCGGGCACAGCAGGTGCTGTTGTTCCCGCTGCTGCTGCTGCTGCCGCTGCCACTGTTGCTGTTGCTGCTGCTGTAAGTGATGCTGTTGCAGCTGTTAGTGTTGCTGTTGCAGTTTCCGTTGGCAATTGGTGTTGATTCTGGTGCCGCTTGCTGCTGCTGGCATAAAGTGGCATTTCAACGGATGCTGCTGGCAGTGCGCTTGATTGGAGTGATGCCGCTGGAGGTGTTGCCGCAACGGCTGCTGCCGCAGTTGCTGCTGTTGGTGTTATGCTTAGCAAATGACGTCGCTGCGCTTGATAGGAGCTTAGGCTCGAATCCATGGTGCCTAATAGTTCAACATCATCTTCGAAACGAGCTGTTGCGGTTGGTTGTTTGCTCGGATAGCTGCGAGCATAGAGCTGCTCCAGCATTTCCGCTCGCCTTTGCTTAATCGCATAGGCACTCGCATCTGTTGCACCCTCACTGCCAAAACCATAATAATCGGATGAGCGAGTATAGAGCTGTTCCAGTTCATCATGTCGTCGCTCAAATTCATTGCGACTGCGTTGAAAGTGCGACAAGTAGTTTTCCCCCCCGCCCAATAACTGCTCGCACTCGGCTTGCTGCTGATGTTGCTGCTGTTGCTGCTGCTCCTCATCAATTGCAATTGCCTGTCGCTGCAAGTGCTGATTGAGCGATTGATAGAAGTTGCTTTCGGCTAGATTCTCATTATATGCCGGCATTACCGATGATGGCGCTGATGCCGTCGCATGTCGCGCTGTAAGCTGCTGCTGTTGTTGTTGCTGTTGTTGCCGCTGATGATACCAATCAGCATCCTCACATTCGTTGACGCGTATGCGTATGTCGCGAACAATGTAATCAGGCTCGTTAGACAAACTCAGGCCATTTGCTTGCACCATATCTTCAACGTCATCATCATCGTCATCGCCATCGTCATCATCGTCGCCATTGTAAACGAAATGCGCTGATTTGGCACTTTCCGCCAGCAGCAAATCCTCGCTTTCTTCCAATGCCAGAGCATAGCTTGTCAGATTATCAAAATAATATTCACACATTTTGTCGGGATGTTCGTAGCGCAGCTTGTAGGCAGTTGCCTGTTCAGATTGCTTTTCTCCTTTCAGAGCTGTGCTTGTCGGTCCACTAAACACGGAAGCATAGTCTGAACTGCTTAAAGAGTCGGAGTGCATGTTAGAGCGTCGCGTATTCCGAGAGGATATAGGTAAAGTGCCGAGATTCTCATAGTTTGCTGGTAATATATTTGTTGCAGCTTTGCTCTGAGCCTGCGATTGACTGCGCTTGTGTCGGCGACGTGGTGTAACCTCTTGTTCCTTGTTTTCGTTATCCTCCTCTCTTTGCCTCTCCATTGCCAGGGCCCTACGTTGGGCGCCACTAATACGGCCGACCGAATGAGCTGATTGTTTTGTTGAGCTCAACTGCTGCTCGAAGTTCTGCTCAAGGTAAGCATCTAGATAGTGTAAATTTTTGCTCAAATCAATCTCCGATTTGTAGCTCTTATAGATGGTCGCCTGTTTGCCGGCTGCATGGGCTGCCGCACATCTAGACTCATAGTTGGATATGTGCGCACGATCGCTGATAAAGCGAAAGCTCTCATCCTTGGAGAGCGTGTGGAAGCCGCTAAATTCTCCAGTTCCATTCGTGTCGCTGCTGGTCTTGAAATTGCGGCACTTATCGCGTATTTTTTGGATGCCCTGGCGCGTTTTCGCCTGCAGCCGCTCAAAATAGTTGGACTTGGGCGTGGTGCTGGCTAAGCGCGCATGGTAGGCGGTGTGTTGAATGTCGTAAGCACCACTGGCACCGCTTCCACCACTGGCACTACGCATGCTTTGAATGCTCCGCGTGCGATTGGGATAGTTGAGCTTAAGTTTGGGCAGAGAGGGCGGTGCTTCATCGGTCGCTTTGTGCAGCTTCCTTAGGGACAACTGTTTGAAGATGGCCTTGGAACGTTTCGGCTTACCAGATGTGGCACTCAGACCGGCGTCCTCCTTATGGAAGTCCTGCCGTTCAAAGCGTCGCACAGGCACGCCGTACAGATAGTGATGTTCCGTTTGGTTGCTGACACCCGAGCGTGTGGCAGAGCTCGACTCAAAGAGTCGTCTTAGACCCTTGGCGCTTCTTTGGGGCCTGCCAAGGCGTAGCGCCGCGTTATTGGCGGTACGCAGGCGCGTATTTACAGAGAGCGTTAGGATTTCATCGTCATGGAATATGGAGAAGGGATTGGTAATCACCGTGGAGCTGTCGTTGTTATTGTTGGTGTTGCTGGTGCTGTTGCTGTTGTTGCTGCTGCGTGCGCTTAAGCTGCTTACTGATCTAGTCTTACCATAATATCTACTAGTGTTATTTTCATTAGAGTTATTGCTACTTAAGGCTAATTGATGATAATGTTGCTGCTGTTGCTGCTTACTATCTAATACAACTACAACTTTGGCTTCATTGTGTTGGTAATGATGCTGCTGCTGCTGCTGAGCTCTTGTTGCTGTCGACAACAGATCTGCCTCAGATTTATGCCGACGCAACTGTCGGCGCACACGCCTGCGCAAGCGTCGCAGCTCCTTGAGCGAGTTGCTCTGCTTGCGAAAGCGATAGAACGGATTGTTGATGCTCAGCTTCTGCAACAGCAATTGTGTCTCCTCAGCGCTCAGCTGTGAAGGAGTTGCTGCAATCTCTTCAGTGCCAGCTACGACAATGCTGTCTACAACAGCCTCGCTGGTCACATTTAAGTGCAGGAGCTTTGCACTTGTCTGTTTCAGTTCACAGTTCATGTTGTTCTCCAACTCAACAGCGGTTGGTGGCAACTGTTGTTCCTGCTGCTTGTTGCTGCTGTCACTATTACTGCTACTACCATTGCTACTACTCTGTTTGCTGCTAATATTCTTGCTACTATTTAGCGTGCTTAGACTATTGGAACTGTTGCTGCTGCTGCCCTGACTCTTCTGCTTCGGACCTGCTGTGTTATCCTCGCTGCTGCCACTACTGTTGCTCTTGTTACTCTTAACTGTGGCATATTTTTTGGCAGTGACTGTTTTTGTTTCGTCGGCGATGGCGTCAGTATCAATGTCGACTTCGTCCACTTTATTTGTGTTGGCTACTTCTAAAGAATTGTTGTTGTGATTTATATTGGTCATTGTTTTTGTAGCTGTACTTGTTGCTGTTGCTGTAGCTGTTGTTGTTGCTGTATTGTTAGTGGTAGTGTTGTTATTGGTGGTGTTGTTGCTGTTCATATATTGATTGTTGGTGGTGGTAGTTGTTGTTGTGGTTGTGGTAATAGTAGTAGTAGTAGTAGTAGTAGTAGTAGTATTGGTGTTGGCTTTATTACTATAATGTTGTTCATTATTTTCTTTATTATCAAGTGCCTGCTAGACCCTAGTAGGCGGTTGTAATATCATTGCAGCCATTCGTACCTTCATTGCCTCGGGAGATCCATGTCCAGGATATTGCTGTTGCGGATGCTGGGAGGCTGCATGTAGAGCTGCTGCTGCCGCAGCTGCGTGTTGTTGTTGCTGCTGCTGTTGTTGTTGCTGCTGCTGCTGCTGTTGCTGGTGATGATGGAAGCCGGCGGGCGTCGTGTAAATTGAATCACCTTGAGGGCCACTCGTGCTATCTGAGCGTGATTTCAAATCGGCTTTTTCGCTGCGGGCGAGAAACAAAATAACAAACGGGAAAATTGTTAGCGAAATATTTTCAGATAAGGCATTGCTACTGATGCTGTTGCTGTTGCTCGTTGTCATTGCTGCTGTGAAGAACAGACAACTGTGTAGGAATGAGTGTATTTGTGTTGATTGCTGGCCTTGGGTGCGAGTGCTTTTTTCCAATTTGCGTTCATTGATTGGCAAATTTTATGCCTTGCGCATATCTAAATATCTATTTAGTTTTTGCGCTTGGCCTTCGGCATTTATTTGTGTTCAGAGACCTAAGAAATTACATTGTCCCCCCTTGTATTTATCTGATAAATACTTCAATGGCTGCTAGCTTAAGGCCGATACGAACTTCAATTTCTGTCAGTTTTGTCTATGATTGGCTGAGAATTTTAAATGAACAGGTAGAAGTTGGTCAGAATAACTTTCTACAGGGACTTGATGAATGTTTTTGAATAAATGGATCTGCCGAAAATTGTTGATAGTTAAGAATATTAAACCTGAGTTAGAATTTATTGCGTTAGTAATTAGAACTTAAAGAGTGGTTAGTTTATCTACCAGAATAAAGACGAGATTTGCAAAGGTATATGGAATATTTCTGAGTTCATATGCCTATTCCTCATATCTAGTTAGGGAAAGTAGAACGCGTACTCTTCAAAGAACAAAGCTGATTGAAAAGCAGGCCTGCATTAATAATTAATATTCAGTAAGAACTGAGGCGACTTCATGTTATTATACAAGCCTCCAACGAATTGTATTAAACCAGGTTGTAGGCAGGATGCATGTGGATGCAGGATGGATGTCGTAATCTGCAGATGTGAAGCTCTTTTTGTAAAAAGCCTGTCGAACCTTGAACGCAGATTCCCATATTTAATATACAGACAATATGAATATGAGAACTTTTCATCAAAATTGAATATATTAAGTTTTTATATCTGATGGTGTGACACCATCTGTGTGACGTTGATGACCAAATACAAAAAAGAAGAAAATGAATATTGGTATTTAGTACCCCTTTTCTATTTTTACTGTTTATATATATAATAAACATGACTATGAATGAATACGGTTTTTATTTAGGGTAGCTGCCTTTATCGAAGTAATATGTCAAAGTTTTATGGGAATTGAAATTATTTTGAAAATATTAAAAAAAATACATTTTGCCATTTTTTGCGTATCCTTTTAATCAATAAATAATTTTATTCTTTTTTTTTATCAAATACCTTAATGTTGTGTACAAAAGCTATGCTATAAGTTTCGAAATGTAATTTATTTTAAACAGTATGTGCTATCGACAAGGAAAAGATTGTTAAGTAAAAAAAGTGTTAAATAGAATTGGAATATTTTCAACATTATTTTTTGAGCTAGGCGATTTGTGGATTTGTGCATGCAGACCATTTTAATGTGGTGGCTACTTAGATTTTGCAGTTGTTGTTGCAACGGAAATGAGACATTCATTTCCGCAGACATATACGCACACACATATCCACACAACCATGCAACCATACTGAAGAAACATGTTTCAATAATGGCGCCAACTGCCAAAAACTATGCTCTGCAATTTTGGGTTTGCTTGCCAAAAGTTTACACACTCGCATTCACACACACACACACACACACACACTCAGAGATACACCAACTATTCCATATGAATTTATGTAGAGCATTGTGTGGTTGCGCGTATATGGGGCGGGTACATGTATTTCGTATACGAAATATGGTAATTTTTAAATGCAAAACAAGGCAACAGCCAGGGACGTGGTTGGGTGAGGGTGTTGGGACTGGGCTGTAGTTTCTGTTGAGCCAAACAACGGCCACCAAGTCATAACTCATGTCGGTGAATGCGCCAGTAGCAATGAGCTATTGTTGGTACATATGTGTGTGTGTGTGTGAATGTATGTATGTCCATCTATATATGTGTGTGTGTGTGTATGGGTGCATGAAACCAAATACGAAAAATATATATCTCAAACAAATTGCGCGCTGCAAGAATACGTTGCCAGTATTGAATATATGAAAAATGTAAAATATTTTATACGGCACACACACATAGACACATACATACATACATATATCAACATTATATAAGGGGTGCGCTTTATGATGAGATAACAATGTTATAATTTATTTTTCACTGATAGATTTTTTAATTCTAAAAATTACGTCAATAATCAAACTGTATTTCATTAACAATTAATATTTCAATAGACTAGTTATAGATGCGTGGAATAAGTTGTGTATTGTTTTTACTAACTTTATGAATAAAATATAATGATCTGACTTCTGGTGTTAGTTTTAGCAAAACTGCTCTACAAAGGTTCCGGTTAGCTTTTGGAGTGTACAAGTTTTCTTTAAAGTAATCCCTTAAATTAAATCGAGGCGTTTTTAAATTAAGGCGTCTTGAGGGTCAGTCAGCTATGTATGATATGCCTTTGTCTTGCTGGAACCACTTATTTTGTAGCTCTAATTGATCAATACGGGCACTACAAAATCTTCCAATATGTCTTCTTACTGATAACCAGCAGCTGCCAAAACAGATGACAGATCATATAACTAGTCTACAAAAGAGTATTAATGGAGGCTTGGATTATCAAATAGAGGCTATTCTGTCAACAAAGCCTGTCCAGTCGAATTCATTTGATTACGGATGTTTAATATCGCGACTGTTTGTTGACATTTTTAAGCCGCTGTTTTGACATTTGAATTTTTGGAGGTTTTTTTCACATACATTATAGAAACATTTCGCATTAACCTTTTCTAATACACTATACTAGCTCTTCTATTTTAAAATATTTTTTTCTCGGCTTTATAATGATTCGAGCGAGTTATTTAGTGTTAAATATGTTGAGGTTATGATTTTTACATAAATGGAATATTTAGGCCGTTATCTGTAGTGAGTTGGAGGAAAGAAAGAAAGAGATTGCAGAAATAGCTTTACACACATCCTGCTCGTCCTGCTTTCCAGTGTTTACTGTTGTTCTAGTTTGTTATCAAAATGCTTAACCCACTCAAGCCAGCAACAATTGACAAATGTTATCCAAACTGAAAGGATAAACTAAACAATATCGACTTGAAATATAAAAAGGACCCTGTATATATTTGATATGGCAGCAAGCGCTGGTGTACATTTTTCATTACTATATTTATGTATATGGGTGTGTGTGCAACCAGTTGGGGCGCATAAATTGGCACACGACAGCGCCACCTGTTGGTCGTCCCGGGCGCAATATAGATCGGTGCATGGAATGTATCAGAATGGCCATTTGTTGTGTGTGCGCCTGTGTGTGTGCGTGTGTGAAGCTACGCTTCAACTTACCTGTCTTTATCCGATGATTTATAGCCAGAGGAACCTGCAATGTGAGCAAAAATAATGCATGAGCACGTTTCGTTATTGTATTTTGTCTAGCATGTTTCATATTTTGCAACAACAACAACAACACCAAAAAGGGAGCATCGCGAAATAGTAAAAATTAGCTGTGAAACTGCTGTTGGTAATACAGGCAGACAGACACATTTGTAAAGTGTTTTCTCTTTTATTTTTTCCATAACATCATACTCCTATCTGCTTACTACATTTGATAAATGAGCCGTGATCCTATTGATGTCGATTGGGCGTAAGGTTGCGTACAGCCTTCAAACCGACAGAGAGTTGAAGAGGGATAGCGAGAAATAGGAGGGCAGGCGGTACGTAATTTTGATGGATTCCGAAAGGGTGAAAATTGTGTTACGGCTGCCATCACACTTGAGAGATCTGTCAAATGCCATTTGACAACTTGGCAAGTGGCGGCAGCTGCGCCTCGCCAAAGCATAAGCTGCGGCTATATCGCATTTTGTGTTTGAAAATTGACAGCTTGATTGACAACTGAGAAATTGCAAGCGTTACATATTCAAGTAGCACCGACTGAGGCGTGGGTTGGGCTCTTTTTTTGTAAACTTTTTTAAACTTAGTGTTTGAGAAGTCTAATCGAAAAGTGGCATGCAATTTGTGCCCATTTGCCCTTTTTTTTATGTGAAAGTAAAACATTTAATAACCATCGACTGCTTGTGAACTTTATATAATAACCATCGTAATAGTTGCATTTGTGAACTGTCTTAATATTAACGAAAACAAAGGGAAGTGTAATTTAATGCAAATAAGTGCAATTCATTAGAGATGGAGTTCCACGAATCTGTTGGACAACGTTTTTAATTATGAACTTTTGGCTGCTACAGACAATTGGAAAGTGTGAACACCATTCTGCAAACATTTATCGAGGCTGCGAGTCGGTTTTTGTAAGCAAATTGTGAGAAACGCTTCCTACTTCGCTGCCCGACTTGGTGTGTTTTCTGTTGTTATTAACAGAGATGGCATTAAAAAATTGCAAACAACTGATTTTATATTTATTAGATAGTGCAACGAAATACATCTGCATCTAAAAACACGCCCATTTGTCCCTAAATCTATATCAGGGTGTCAGCTATGCCCATTAAACAAGTTCTGTGTGATCCTTGAACAGGCTGGCGAAATCAGCTAACGATGTTTTAAATATTTCAAGAAATTCCTCTCTATTTTCTCTCTATAACCTCGCACTTAGCCATCGCTAGCGACAAACCAGATACAAGAACGTTGCAGCTGTGGCCTACTCATGACACAAAAAAAAAAAGAAACTGGCTCCTGTGAGACCACGACCCCAATTGTCTGCAAGTTCAGAAAATCGATCCTATTTTAACCAGAGTCCGGTTCCCCCAAAAACACATGATTTTAATGGCCGCTGGGTATAGGGTCAGACGATAGACTAGTTCAAGGTAGACTAGAAATCAATGCTCCAATCAATATAGACTTAGGCCATACATCTGTTAGGCTTGCTAATCTAAGCATACAATTTATGTTTGGTTACTGCTTCTTACATGGTATGTATTCGTAAACTCATATCCAAACTATATGTAATAAGACTACTTGATAGCTGCAGTTTTGAAGGAACTTAAATACTTGTAGATATTCCGCATGTTTCCCAATAATTGTGAAACCTACAAGTTTGAACCTTCTATTTAATTGGTTTAAAAAAGAGAAAAATCTACGATTTCGGTTATGGTTGAAATGGTCGATACAACTTAATGTTAGACATACCGCTTTAATACGTCTATAGTTGAAAACAGAATATAAATGGATCTTTTTTTTTAGTTACGAGACATTGTATAGTATTGGACCAATTCCAGCCATTCATGCGAATAGCCTTGCATTCTATCAACTATTCATGTTGTAATGCTAATAAATGATTGTTATCTCATTCGAAATTTATTTCACTTTCCTTTTCTATCCATCACCTTTTATGAAAGCGGCCATGTTCTTGAAAACAATCTCCCTCCGATCTACTCTAAGGAATTTATTTAAGCTGTGTAAAAATGTTTAAGTCTTGTGGCTTTGTTTGTTACAGTTTAACAGAAAAGTACCAAGCCTACTAATTTGTTTTGGGGTTTGTTTGCGGGTTTTTTTTTCAACGCAGTCCTTATCGCTGGAAAACAAACCAACAGAAACAAAAGGCGTTAACCCAAATGCCATTTGCAGTCAGTCTTCAAACATCAACAGAATAAAAAAAGATTCCACGCAAAAAGTTCCTTTTTCTCAAATTGTTTTTAATATTACCCTTTTTACTCTCTGCAAATTGTTCAACAAATGTGCATTTTAATTGCGCGTGGAACTTTGGTGGAACTTTGGGTGCTTTGTGGCTGTGGATTTTGATTTGTAATTAGGCGCTTTAAGTTCAAGGCTGCGCGGGAACAGCCTGAAGAGCCCGTGAAAAGGACTTAAAGAATCTAAGCCGTGGCTTTAAAGCAAGGGCCAAATTAGAGTAAGAGGGCGAACGAAAAAATAATGTTGTTGTTTTTCAAACTCGCCAACAAAGACCAAATAAAAAAAAAAAACAAATAAAGGGGGAAACCCAGCTGCCAAATCTGACCTCCGCGCAACTCTTTTGTGCTGCATTGACCGCAGGCGCTGGCAACGCCAAATGCGCTAATGAATATTTTATGAGATTTATTTGAGTTTGAGTTTTCAAGTGGGGAAGAACACAAAGCGTGGCAAAACTTTTGCACCAAGAGCATTTGTTTTTATTTTCTCGCTTCATTTCTATGCCGGCTTTGCTATACTTTTCTTTGTGTTCCGTTCGCTGCAAGTTTTTTGTATTTTTGCAATTAGTGTGACAGCGGAATAGAGAAAAAAGTCGGGGGAGAAGAGAGCAGTAGAATTAAAAATAATAAAAATAATAATAAGTTACAACACAAACGGCAGCAATAATCAAGAAATGCTTTAATTGTTGCGGACTTGAGGCGCTTGTAATTAATATGCGCCGTTATTTGAGTTTCAATTTGTTTATTGTAATTGTTTATTTTGCGGCTGAGCAAAGTTTTGATGCGACGGCAGCTTAATTTTTTTTAATGAGCAGCTTCCGTGTCGAAAATTATGCAAATTTTCCTTTGTGGCACTGGAGCCCGTTGTGGATTTTTATTTTAAGTACAGAAAGGTTAATTGTGGGGAATGAATAGAAAAGTAATGAGGGAAAAGTTGTTGGACAATCACGTAAGTGATATTTGTACACCAATGCTATGAATGCTTGAAATGTAATTATGTTTGCAAATATTAACCTTTAAAAGGTGTGACTGATGTCCAAACAAGTTTTGGATACGTGCTCATCAAGAATAAAATAGTAACTAGTTATAGAGCTTAAAGTGAAGATAATTGAATTGAATAAATAAAGTGATTGAATTGTAAAAAAAAATACTTAGGATTAAGGATCTTGGCTTTTGTCAATGTGGAAATCATAAAAAGGTAATTCCACCTTACTAATAAAATATATAAAATAAGTAACTTAGACAATAAGTAACTTGAGAAGGCTGTGGAGACTGGTCTATAAAGGCAAAATGTGCTGTTGATGGTGGTGTTAGTAGAAAGGCACCGGCCGAGAGATTTTGTAACGAATTCGAGTCCTCGTAGGTAGCACAGAAACAACAATTAGACCAAAAATATATGCTTAAAGGATATTTGGCAGCTCCTGACAAAGCCAAAAACGTACTCACTTTTTATGAAATCTTTCAATTATTAAGTTGATAGAATTTTGCAAGAATAGACAGGCAAATAAATGAAGGTTGGTTACTAGACAAGAAGCAGTGTAATGGAGATATTTATGCTCTGTACATTATATGTGTGTTATGTCTACAACGTCTCTGTCCACATATAGCTGTGAAGCGAGGCAGAGCTGGCCGTTTGGCAAATAAAATTCTCCCAAAGTGTCGAAGGCGTTAATGTATATTTAATTTTGAGGTTTTTTTTATCTTTTAAGTTGAAATTATAACGCACTACTTTTGTATACATTTATTGAAATCTGTGTCAGCAGTGCTCATTTGCTGACTTCATAATAAAATAAAGCAAAAAAAAAAAATATATATATATACATATTTATTTATTGAAGGTGTTGCAAAAGTTATTTTTATGTTAAATTTGTTTTAGCAATTATTAAACTTATGTTCATTAAGCTTACCCTTGAAGCAACACTTTTTGCTTTTAACGGCGTAGATGCAGAGACATATTAATATTAAAATGGCGGCCAAACAACCGCCGGCGACGCCGAGCAAATAGCTCATCTCCAAAGGTTCTGCGCCAGAGTCCGGCCAAAGCCACGTAAGTGTGGATGCGATGTTGTTATTGTTGTTGTTGTTGAGGTTTCGGGGCATTGTAGTTGTTGTTGTTGTAGTTGTAGTGTTGTTGGTAGCGATTATGCAAGCATAAGAGAAATTTCATTTTTATATATGGTTCACTTTAATTAAAATGATTGATAGCTGCACAAATGTGTCGTCCTTATGCGCACAATAAATACAAGTATACTATATAGTATATACTTGTACATATTTGGTGTTTGTAAATGGCATATGTAAGTAAGTAAGCATTAAAATGTAATATTTAATGAGGTATTTACATGCCATGCATCAATATTTACAGCGTGTATATGTGCACACGAGGTGTGTGTGTGTGTGGAAATCAAGTTAATGAATGTGAATATGCTGCTGCTACGATGATGGCGCTTTGTGTCTGCCATGGTGTCTGCGGCAGTGTAATTTCATTTGTGTAAATGAAATGTTTCAAATTAATTATGCAAATGCAAGTGACATGCCTTAAAGTAGTTTGCTATACATAAGAAGTATCTATAAGTATATATACTCGTATATGTAGGCCACAACTTAAATATAAATAAAGAGAAATAAAGAAAAACTCTGCACCTGCAAACGTACCCTCCACAATCAAATGTATGGCATGGCGATCGGTGCCGCGTTCATTCTCTACGACCAGATAATAGGGACGTGAGTCGTGCTCATCGGTGTGATGTATGTGCAATGTGGAGAGATAGCAATCCTCACGCGTATCCTGCTGCATGTCGTCGGCACGGAAGCGATCTAAAATTAAATAAAGCGACGAGACAGAAAGAGAAGTTAGTGTCATGTAATTTATTATTAATGGATAAAAATACAGCAGGCCATTTGTCAACATGGTACACTTGGAAAAAATTGAAACTGCGATACGGCTTTACTTTCCGATAGCAATACAGAGACATCGATGGTGATTAGGATAGAATAGAAAATGTATATCCTCACTATATAACTACCAAAGTAAAGTTGATTGTAAAAGTGTGTTACCTGCCTAGAATATTTATACACTTATTTACATTAGGCCGCTGAAATTTCGAATGTCTACCGTCAAGCATCGGTTCTTGTAAAGAAAGTTGGCCTGACATACAATCTACTTGTATATTGCGAAATCTGGCTTGGCCTACTGGTTGCTTTTTCACTCTGTAACACTCACTGTTAACTTATCGCAGCCATTGGAAGCTCTGAGGGATTAAGCCATTTTAAATGGGAGGGTAGCAAAGCGGTATTAATTTTTTGTTCACTTTTGTGGTTGTCTATAGTCATGTATTTTTGTTTTTTATAGACTCCAAAGCTGTTCTTCGACCCATAAATGGTATCATTTTGTCGTTAAAGTTTGTATAAAAACATCAGTTTTCTGGTTTAAAATTAAATATAAAAAATGGGTCAGGCAATGCCACATAAAAGCTACATCATAGAAAAAGCACAAAGGCAGGGTATTTCATTTCAGAGCTGGCATTATCTGACAGTGTTTTCAAAGTTTTTTTTCTATCTTATTTCCGTCAATTTCAACTACATATTTAATATTTGAATTCCAATTATTGTGTAAAAAGGAGAAATTTCATTTTTGGCGTATTTATATTCAGTCGTTAAGCTGGCGAGAAAATTGAATATAATCTTTGTTTTTTTTTTTTTTAGTTTTTACAAACAATTGATTAATTTGGATTGTATAGTTTACAAGAAGGTGTTTTGCTTTTTCTACTATAATATTATATGGTCCTGATTTCGAGTGGATGTTTCGATAGGGATAAGCCTTTTAATTTTAAGCTGTAAAATTTTATTTCTACTTTCTTCATTGCTTACATAGTATGTGGGCTTCTGTTTTGTGAAAATCTAAAAGGAACCCTATCAATTTAATTATTCAATATAAAGAATGGATTTTTTTGCTGCCGAAACGTAAAGAGTGTGGCAGAAGGCTTGCGTTTATGTTAATGAATAGCGTAAAATGTTTAAAATTAATCGAGAAATAACATAAGCTGATGAACAGCAAGTTAGGCAAATCAAGAAATTAGTGCCCTAAAATTGTCTATTAAAACAAGTGACTCTTCTGAGAGAACTTTTATGCCTTGTAAAAGTCAAATATTGTTTGGTTCCAAAAATATTCAACAAGGAGGATATTAAAACCGCATCAAAAGTCATTCCAAAAAAAAATAAAATAAAATACTGGAGAAAGATTTGACACAATATCATATATTGTACAAGTAGATTTCCCAGCAGTAGAAAAAAGACAGGGTATTGCTGGTTCGATAGCATTTGGCTTAGCTCCGCCCATAAATATTCGTTGTAAAGATTTAAACTTTGATTTACATGTTGAGCAGTTCCCACACATACAAATGTGATGCATTCTTAAATATGAGTGGGGGAAAATGTGAAAAGATTTTACATTTTCTTTTAATTATTTGCAAATTTTGTAAAAGCCTTTCGCATATTTCAATTATTATACGAATATTTCAAATGATTTAATTACAAAATGATAAAAATACTTTTCACAGCAATGTACTAGCTGTTGTAAATGTTTGCAATAAAAATGTTTCTAGCAATTATAAGGGCAATGGATAAACACACGCATACACAGATACACACACATGGCGTATACGCAACATGTTTGTGAATGCAATGTAATGCACATGAAATGCATTTCGTTTGATTTCTGTCAGTTGCAACATGCAGGATTACGCATACAAAGAAGCAGGCAGACAGCCAACTAGACAGACAATCACACAGACATAGTGAGATAGATAGATGGAGGAATGTGTAGACGCATGGATAGATGCAGACAAGCTGAAAATGAAGAGTAATTCACGAGATTTGATAGTTGAATGCGAGACAAGTTGCAAGAATGCGGTGGCAGGGCAGAAGACGAAATGCAATGCAGTTTAAAGTGAAAAACGGGCTGCATCGTGCATCGCGCTCGACGAGGACGTCGTGGTACTAGTCTATGTCCTGTTTGTCTGCCTGTTGCAAGCCAGGATTACCGGCGGCTGACAAGCGTGGGAAGTGTTTGCCAGCGCGCCCGAACAGCCAGTCCAGCAGTCGACCATTCCGGCCATTGTCAGGGGATACGTTTGCTGGTAGACGGGCAGGACATGACAGTGGCATTTCGTTCGTCTGATTTTGGGACTGCTGTCGACGTCGCTGGCCGTGTAATTTGTCTTGATTTGTGTGGCATGCTGCGTTGCGCGGCCCATCTGGCCCATCTGGCCCACTTCGCCGCTCCTGCTCAGTGCTGCCTGGCTTGGCTTTTGTGCTGGTGGCCATATATATAGCACGTACTCGTAGAGTTGGTCGGGGCTGCGTTTGGTCCCATCACTAACACGAACGCACGTAGCACACGCATTTCAACGTTTGTTCAATGTCAAATTTGCGGAAAAGGTTTGTTAATGAGCACTCAAGCGAGCACTGCACAGTGGCCAGCATTTTCAATACAAGTGGGAACATTTATTTGAAATTTGAGCACAAATCCAATTTTGGCTTTACTTGAAATTAGTTTTTTGTTTTTGGCTCAAATTAAGTGCACATATGAATTCAAAAGCAATCTTGAGCTATTTGAAAATTTCTTATTTTGGAATCGATTAACACTCATTTGGTGCTTAGGCGGCTAAAAATGAAAAATTCCAGATTTTTCGACATCGTTCAGGACTGTTTGAATTACAGAGTCCAGAAATGTATTTTCATACACCATTGTTGCTTAGAAGCGTGTTTTGATATAAAACCCCTTTTGATTGTTAGAAAGACATTAACGTTTTGTTGAAATTATCCAAAAAGATATATGTATTGTACAACATACTTTTATTTTGAATTATATTTTATACGGTTTGTCATTAAAAGCCCGTTTTTTACATCTCTGATACTAGATTATTTCAAATGCTAAGCTTGAAAATGTAAAATGTAGGAATACAATATCCACACCCTACCTAAGTATGCTATTCAAAAGACTAAAAAGTAAGCTGAACCATTAAACCATTGAGTGTGATAATAAATAAGGATCTTTTTTTCAATGTTCGGTTATAATCGATTCTCTTTTTTACTAGCAATAAGAAAATAAATTTCGTTTTGTTTTATTAACTTCTAATAGTTACAACTTCCATGACCAAAAGTAAGTTAAATAAGAATTTACTTTAGCTTAAACGAAGAGAGTAACTTTAATTTTTGATAAATGTGTATCATGGTTTATCTGTAAAAAAGCAAGGGAAGAACACTCAAGTGAAAAATGATACGTGTGTCTCAAATACGAGCGATGCAAATAAAATCGTCAGAGTCAGTTAAAAATATACTTATTTTAACAAACTTTTAACTTCTTTAGGAAAAGTTTCAAGAAGTGAATAATTCATTGAGTGTCAATTCATTTCAAAATTCCAATTAATGTTCGCGCTCGTACAATATACTAAACACTTACAAGTAGTTATATTTCGTCAACTGTTGCTAATAAGTAATTGATTTTAAATTCGAGTTGGAGCTTGACTTCGGCACCAGTTTTGTTTCTACTTGTTATGCCTTTATATCAGAACTCTGAAAAAAGTTTGCGACTCGATTACTTAAATGGACCATTGTGTAATGGTCTGACACTTCAGAGCTGCTGCTGTGCGTGACGTGTGCGCCACTCCCCTGAGCCGGGCAACTAATTGACTTAGGCTTATTGAATAGGAAGGCAAAAAAGAAAAAAGGAATCTGCAACTAAGCAGCTAATTGCATTTTCATTAGCTGCCAAATGAAGCGCGAGTAAATTGTTATGTATACGCACCTATGCCCGAGCCAGCATCCAAACGCAACGAGCCCCACTCCCAGGCTACGCGATGGGGTCGTGGATCGGCACAAACAATCATGGTGAGGCTGGCAGGCTCGCCCCGTTTTACGGAAATGGTGTGCATTGAGGGATGTAGTCGCAGCACTTGTGGGGCACCTGTAAGAAGAAAAAATCAGAAACAGAAAAAAGAACATGAGTAAGTAAATGTCAAAGGCTATGTGTATTATATATAGTACTTGTATGTATGGGTCAGTGGCGAAATAAAAGCCCTACTGATGCTGAGAGCATGAAAGAAAAGTACAGTTACGGGCAGGACAATAGAGGGTTACATTTAATCAAGGATTTTATTCTTTTTTTAATTAAGGTCGAGCCCAAAGACAGTGGTTGCCTTTGAATACTTGTTTGCAATACTATAGGCGAATATATTTAATGGAATACCAGCAATGTGAAAATGATTGTTTCAAAAAAGGAATGACGAGCTTTTCTTAAACAATAAAGAGACTTAACTTTAGTATTAACATATATATTTAAAAGTTTATACTTGTATTTGCTGAAAGCTGGATGTGAAAACAGTTTTTTCTACGAATTTTTTTTTTTTTTACAGAGTTCTTTTAAGTCTGAAGCAATTGGTAATTATTTTAAAATTAGTATATTTTCTGCGCAAAACCCCGTTTTATATACTGATGAAAAGTTTTAAAAGCTGAGCTGATTTTGTCTGAAACTTTGTTATACCGAAGATTTAGCATGGAGTGCAAGTCTTTAACAGCAGAATGCAATTCCATTAACACTTCAATAAACGATTCTTTCAAATAGCTAATATGTATAGTCTAGTTAATAGGCTATTGTGTTTGATCTAATAATTGTATACATCATAAGACGAATTATCAAATCTGTCTGCAAACTAGTTTCTCAAATTAATATCTTTTGGCTTAAGCTCTCCTTTTTTTAAACCTATCTCAAAACAAATACTCTAGCTTGAACCACATCGGACTTTTTGAATGCCCAGATAATGGTGCATTTTTTTATGGTTTCAAAGATATGAAATATGATTTAAGGTAATTTTTTAAAATTTCACAACATATGGTCGAGTTTGAATCCAATCTGATCGTTCAAATAATATTGCATTAATTTCTTTGTTCAAAATTTTCCCATTTGCAATAAATATATTGTTGTTTTCTATATCTGCTTCTAATTATACAATTTCTGTATTAATATTTTTCTTAAATGGGAAAAAGTCCAATGTGCGAACGGTATTTAAGCTTCGCTCCAAAGCTCTTTAAACTCTTTAAATTTAAATAACAGTTTACATTTATTTGTGCAGAAAAATTGTCATCATTACATTAACCTTGTTGCATTGAAGGTAGGTTTATTATGTAATGTACGGCTAGCGATGGCGGACAGACAAATGGACAACAATGTGACCAAATCTGCCATAAACTTGAAATGAATTTTGGACACTTTCAGCCAACAGCACAGTTGGTGGCGGCTCGTCATTCAGTCAGTCAAACAGTCAGACAGGCAGGCATGCAAGCAGCCATGTTGGCGAGCGATGTCGTCGTTCCAGCCATTTTGTTTTGGTCGTTTGTCTGCTGCTCTTTCGTTGTTGTCGCTCTCGTCCGCGTTCCCAGTCTCGTCCTCGCAGTTTTCGTCGAACAATAACTTTAACTTTGGGGCGCCGGCCCATTCAGCCCATTCAGTTGGTCTGTTGAGCGTCAAATTTATATAATGCCATTGTTGTTGTCACGATGTATGTGTGTATGGGTGTGTGTGTGTGTGTCCTGCCATGTGCAGCTGCAGCATATAATGAGCAACTAGTTTGCTTTATTTTTTTCGCTGGCCGCTTCATTTTTGCAGCTTCTGTTGCTGCTGTTGTTGTTAGTTAGTTCGTTAGTTACTTTACACATACACACATTTACACACACACACACATACATACATGTACGGGCGCGCACATTGTGCCTTGCATTTTTTCTCAATGCATATACATAAATATTTTTTCTAGGTTTGCTCTGCTAAATTGCTCGTGTCCTTGGTTGGCCATAAATTATGTACGTGCTGTGGTATTCAGCACTAAATTTAAATATTTTTTGCATTCTTTCCTTGCCCACGGCAGTTGGCAGCAGTCACAGTCTTTCCTTCATTTTTCTCATTTTTCCTTTTTTTTTTGTTTTGTTGTTGCGGTCATGAGTTCATTTTGATTTTATGTTACGTTTTGGTTTCGGGTTTTCAGTTTGTTGCAACTTGCTGATGTTGCAGCGTGTCGCGTTGCAAAATTATGTGGGCAGCGCGCAGGCGTTGAAAATGTTTTAGTGCCGCATACTTTCCGCTTGTAGTTTTTAATGGAGTTTTGTGTTGTTTTAAGTGCGCATTAGTTGCACGGAGCCAGCGAATTAAAGTGGGCATGGTAGTTGGCTAGGGACACCACATGTCTGGTGTATGCGGTTAAATGGTCGCTTTGGTTGACTTGCAAGTAACTACTAAAGTTACATTTCACAATCTGCCACTCCTAGTCCAACAGGCTAGATAGTCTAGTTGCGATTTATGCATATGTTAGCGAATTGAATGCGATATATCTTTCAAATTTTATTAAGGCATTGCCTGGAAATAGTTTTCCACAAAAAGGAAATACACTGAAGGTAGAAGCTATATTCAAACAAACATGTTATAATATACTGAACAATGTGTGTATTGAGCTGTCAAATTCACTGAGCAAGGTTATTGAAATTCAAAACATCTCAATTATTAAAGCCAGCCCATCTTTTAATTACTTACTATACTGGTTAATAGCTCTCTTAATACATTTTATCCAAATTCGTCAATTATATAAAAACTAATTGATTTCATTTATAGTTGTTAGAAATTTAGTCGGATTCAGAATACATTTTGAAACTTCTTGGAGACCAAACAAAACAAAGCAAAACACAATTTCTTTGACTTTTCAATTTTAAAATAATAAACTCAAGTAGTAGCCATGTGAACGGGAAATTAAGAAATAATATAAGAATGAATATACAGATTTTGTTATAGATGTTCCCCTAGCTCGATGTAATAAAATATTCGTGAATACATTTAAAATTAACATAAAAGGATATTTCAAAAGAGTTCTGTATGTATTATGTTAAAAATCAATAAAAGTAACGAAATTTTTGCATCAACTGTCGTCAAGCACTGAGCAAAATATTTTAGCCTACAAGTATAAATCATTTCATCTAAGCTTTTATTTCAAATATAAGTAAACAAGATATTTTTCAAAAATAAATGTAATTTTCACATACATTTTTCGATTAATTAATTAAAAAGTCTGAAGTCTGTTTTTTTTCTAGAAGGGCCCCAAAAATATTTACTTTACTTGTGTAGATCAAAATATTAATACTTAGTGCTACTCTACTACTGCCAGTAATAGTATGTTCAAACCATAAGCAGAGTTATTTATTTTTGTGCTTATCATTATTTTTCAGGTCAGGAGATTAGGTCGATGTTATAATATAATTTTATAACTCAGACGGCGGGAAGTGTGGGAAAATTGATTAATTAATTAAGATTTATATTCCAAGTTCTTACATAGCTGATAAGAAGTTTAAATATTTTCTTGAATTCTAAGCGTTATATCATTATAATTTTTTATCATTGTGGCACCATCGCTTTGCTAAAAAATGTTGTTAGCTGCTACATTTTGTGGCTGGGGGTTACAATAGAAGAGAGAAAACTGGTACAAAAGAAAATAAGTCTTGTTGGGAGCTCACAAAAATCAAACTAAAATAATAATTTATTGGCTAGTACCTTCATGAATACACTCTGCCATAAGCTGAGCAAATATCAATCTATATATATTTTTACGTCGCTAATAAAATCAATTTAAATGCTTAAATTCTTAAATTCACTGGCAGCGAAGTAAGCATATCCTTAAAAGCGCATATAAGTTGAATTTTTGAATCATTTGTAGTCTATTGCTTTTTCCTATAGTCATGCAATAAACCTTAAATGGCAATTTCTTTGCGTTCATAAGCTGAAATTGCCATATGCGATATTAAAAAGCATAAAGCGTCAACTGCAGTCAATGCTCGATTGTGCCTGGTCCTAGTACAAGTGCATTATCAGGTTTACGATGCATTTGTTGTTGCTGTTGTGGCTGCGGTCATCAGCTCGCTTAACAGTTGCTCACATTGTTTGCTTGGCCGTAACTCACTTTACAACAATTTTCCGGTGGTTTCTTTTTTCTTTCTTGTTCATACTACATACAATGCATTGTTTTTCTTTTTTTTCTGTTTTCTCCTTTCGTGATTTTTTGTGTTTATTGTTGTTGGTTGGCCGTTTGCGACAGTCGCAACCATAGTCATATTTTGCGGTGAGGTGCTGTGGTTTGTCGCCAACGGCCACAGCAACATGTACATAAAATATAACTGTCGCCTCACTTACCCACAACTTGCAGTGACACTGGATCGGATATGGCGACGCGTTCCTGTCCATTGATGTAACTAGTGGCCCGACATTCATACTCGCCCTGATACTCATAGGTGACATTATCGATGACCAGGCGGGCTTCGTTGCCGCGCTCCACGTACTTCGATCCGTGCGATATTCTACAAATAAAAGAATGTTTTTATAGCCAATGTTAAACTAGCTGCAATATGTATATAAAATATTTAACAAGTTTGTGTGCATATATACAAGTAGTATACCCGTATATAATATGTTTGTAATTCTAAAGAAGCCACTAAGCGTTTTGAAAAAGTCAGCAGCTGCATTTTGCGTAGCATACTTTTGTGCGTAGCTATATTTGCTGCTCCTTTTGTGGCACACATCGCACCCTCACCCCCAACCCCAACCCCAACCCCAACCCCACCCCCAGAACATTGTATGTTTTCTTTTGCATAAGCTTTGAACTCTGCGCGCATTGGCAACAATGCAACGAGGTCGAGTTCGAGGCACCCAAGGCAGGAACGGCAGGCATGGCAGGCACATTGCAGCTTTGGGCAGCTCCTGTGTGCGCTTTGACTGTTTGGTTTGTATGCGCACGTGTGTGTATTTGTGTGTGTGTGTTTGTGTCCTTTTGTGAGTATGTGTTGCAACGATCTGTGCGCAGCAATATTAAAAATTGCGTATGAGTTATTTTCGTTTTGCAACTGCATGTTTCCCTCACTCTCTTTGGCAGCTGCGGCTGCCGCTTGCAGTAGCAATAAAAAAAAAATTGAAAAAAAATATTTGATACATTTTTTAATATGAAAAATGCCTTTTATGTACGCTACTGGCTGCTCGCTTGCGTTCTTTTGTGTGCGTGCCTGACCCCACACACCACTCACACATACACTCACATACATAAAATTCTTTGCCAAGAGACGTTTTCTGCCATTCTATTTGCCATGTTCAATATTTTGTGAATAAAGTCGCTTGTGTGCGCTGCGCTTTAAAAGCATGGAAACAACTTAAACGACATAAGCGTCCGTTATCACAATTAAAAGCAATAAATTAAAAAGCCATTCAAATGCAAATCTTCAACGACGACAAGTGGAGCAGCCAGCATCGCAAATGAAGTCTGAAAAGTCTGAAAACATAACATAACGGTGGAGGGGAGGAGGGGGTGGGGGAGGAATACGCGATATTCTCTCAAAGGTATTCGAACAGCAACTGAACAGCACGTAAATCAAAGTGACATGGTTTCTCGTTTCATGTCCTTTTTCTTCCCGTCTTGCGTTGCTTTGCCAGCGGCTTTGCCTACGAATTTGAATGAGGCTGTCGTCGCAACGAGTGGTGGCAATGGTTCCTTTGCAGTGTAAATAAAAAAATTGCGGGCCATTTGTGCGGCCTGCAGAATGTGGGTTTCAGTTAAAGACATTAAGCTTGTTCTTTGTTGAAAAGTAGTCGTTGAGTAAACGATGTTTGCAGCAAAGAACGCATTGTCGTGGTCAAAGGTGAGCACATACTGGTTTTAGTAATTAGTTGTGGTCCTTGTAACATTAAATAGGCATACGCCGTCCCTCATCTCAAAAGGAGTTGACGATACTCTTTTATTTGTTTTCCTATACTGGCATACATTAAAAAAATTTTTATATATACATTTTGTTTCTGGCAAACATTAATTGGTGCAACTTTGAGGTATATTATATTGATCCAAGTACCCGAAACAAGATTATAAAAATGATGCCCTGGCAGCCGATTGGATTACAAGTTTAACTCGTAATTTTCTTAACAGATGTACTTGTTCTAGATATTATTCGCATATTATAAGGATTGTTTCAAATTCTTATTCTTTAGTATTAGTGTAGTTTTAAGATACTTATAAGTCAACTATTCATGGGTTGTTGATTAAATTTTACCCCGCTTTTGTTACATATTAGAAACGGTCCGTTCACTCATAAACTATGACACTTCAGATATAATTTAAGTTGATAAGGTTTTATAACCTGTACTCTCTATTATTAATTAATTATAGATACACACCAATTTATGAGCCAATTTTCGTGAATAAATGAAATTAAATGAAAAAAATTATATTGATCTTTTGAAAATATAGAGCGATATTGTTTTATATTATTTACATTTCTTTTTGATTTCCAATGCCAATTCGTTGTCATACTTGAGCGCTTGCTTTGTATGCGTAATTAATGCAAATACATACTACTTTTCTCATAAATGTAGTTTCAAATGTACGAAAAAATGTTCTAAAAAAGTGTCCATCCAAGATGGGTGTCCGCGTAAAAAAAGGGTCCATTAGGAGAGTGCGACAGTGTACTATTAAAGGAGGATGAGATGCAATTTTGTTATATCCTGTTCCCGAGGGGTGCAGAAGGTATCTTAGGTTTGTGCAAAGTATGTAACAGAGAGAAAGATATATGTTCTTATGCAGCATATATAGTATGTTCTTAATATCTTAATATTTACCAAACTTGGTATGTAGACTCTAATATTCAGACTCAAATTTATTAAGTGCACCCGCAAAAAAGAATGGCAGAGTGTGGCAAAGGTATACATTGAATTGAATATGAATTATGTAAGAGCTATAATTTAATTTAACAAGTAAACTTTTGAAGCCTAGATAAGACTTTTTCTGATTCTTTTCTGAAATGCCATCATTTAAGTTTTCATGTTAAGTTGGCGGTTTCCCTATAAATTATACGCTCCGCATTATTAACGCCTGTCCATCCATACATTTGCATAAACGAGTAATTATTTATAAACTTATAAATTTCTACTTTTGTGCATTGATTTTTGTTGTCTTTGCTGTCACATGTTGAGGGAGCCCCTTGAGTGCAGCTAAATGGTTTGAAAATGTTCCAACTGTGCAAGGCTCTAGAGCATACGCCACCTGTCAACGATGTCATTGATTTATTATGCAAACACGGCAGCACACAGCAATTTGAAGACATGCGACAATATTTAATGGGCGTTGTTGCATTACCGTTTGCGTTTGTCGTAGAGTCTATATTACTTTTACTGTTGTTGGAGCTGTTGTGGCGTAGGAGCGTTGTTGTTGCGTGAACATGCGTGGAAATTAATTTCCAACAATTGACATTTAATTTCTGATAAGCACATGCGCGCTTGCCTGCTTCATTAAGTCAATGCATCAATGTGGCGTTTGTTAGAGCCAAAATCCAAAAAAGGTGGGCTTTAAGCACAGGTACGAGTACATGAGTTATTGTACGGCCACGCGTAAGCTAAAGACCGTATCCGAAGTCTCTGTGGTGGGTCCCAAGTGCAAACAAATGAAATCACCAAAATCACGTACTTGTCGCTGTTGTCTGTCTGTCTGTCTGTCTGTCTGTGTGCCTAGCAATGCGTTTCTTTGACTGTCTTGCCCCCTCCATCTTTCGTATTCTCTCTCATTCTCACAGAGTATGTATATACTATAGTGTATGTATATATAGTATATGCCAAGTCACATAAATTCATGTTTCGATTTTTTGCACTGCCTTGATTTTGTTGCCTCCCCTTGGCTGGTGGCTGGCGGCCTCTCGTGCTGCTTTGCATACTAATACGGCTCAAGAATGCAGTGAACATTTCTATGGAGATGGTGGGCTTTTGCCGCTCCTTCCGTTCCTACTTCTTCAGTTTTTTCTCCCTTTTTTTTTGCATGTGCGCAATTTCCGCTGTGAAGCTAATTAAAATGATGCAAAAATGCGAAGAGTGGAAGCACGAAGTGGGCAGCAGCCTCATGCACAGAAATGTGTTGGCCTGGGGATACGTTTATATGAGAGTGCAGAGTGCAACAGGATGCGCCAAAACATGCACGGGAAATGTTGATAAGGAAGTGAAGCAGTGGAGTGATGAATGTGCAGACAACCATATTGAATAGAACTTTATATAGAACTCATTAGAGCGAAGGCAATTGAAGTGTAGTTTTTTTTAATGGCACAGGTAATGCGATAATTATCCATTAAGTAAATGTATTTAGTCACTAAATGGTACTTTAAATATATAATATTTGCGACAAGATATATTTATACCCTGTAAAAGGGTAAACGGATATACTAGTTTTGTGCGAATGTATTTAACACACAGAAGGAGGCGTGCCAGAACCCACAAAGTATACACATATTATTGATTAGGACAAGACCAGTCGATATAGCCAAGTCCATCCATCCGTATGTCCGTCTGTATGAACGATAGGATCTATGAAATGACAAGAGCTAGAATTACCAGGTTCTTCTAAGCCTTAGGTAAGTTTGCTTATTTTTCCTGAAGCACCCACTCTCCCCTGCTATTAGTGATATTTCATAACTCCGGTAATTCTTTGAATTTCGAACTCAAACTGGGTAATTACATTCGGTTAGTGATTATATGTACATTTTTAAAATATTTTTAAAATTTTTATTTTTTTTTTGTTTGTTGGAACAGGGTATTTAAGAGTTAAGCTCGCTATCCTTTCTTGTTTTATATTGCCATATCTGATAAATTCATGATAAGCTGAAGATTTGTTTGTGACAACAACATAATGTTGATAACAGCCATAGAGAGTTATAGTCATGTGCAGCTTACTTTAACCTTTTAAACAGATGCCACTGCTTACGAAGAAAGGTCACATACATATACATACATAAGAATATTTTATAAATAATTAAGACAGATTCAAATATTTCTAGGCAGTCCAGAAGGTGTTAAATTTTCATCAAGAAAATTATGAGTTGATAACACGACTCCAGAGAACTCTTTGCAAGCAGTCTTTAAAAGATTGGTAATGAACAGAAGGAAAATAGGAAAATCTAAGCCCTGGGAGAACAAAGCATAATATACATATTCTGCTAAGAACTAATGCATCCCCCATTCCTTCCCATCCGGTTCTAGGATAACTACAGTATGTATTTAATATCTGGAAATTTGTGTACATTGCATATAACAGGTTATTTGGGAATATTGCGCGCACGACCATAGCATTTCTTTTTGTTTCTTCTTTTTAAATGTCACAAAGAGATATTATTAATACGTGGTTACTTTAGAGAAATTTGAAAAATGTAACGAAGCCTGTACTAATAATTATCTTGTAAGAGCATAGTTACATATGTAGTAATATACTCCTTACAGAAATCCGAAGAGAAAAACTATTTTACTGGCGGTAGATTTTTCAAGTCCCTCAAGAATTATTCGCAAAATTTAAATCTTTGAGAGGATTCAAATAATACTAATATTAAAGATGTTAAAAATACAATTACTGCATTATTAAGCCACTAAAGAAGGGGAGAATCCATGGTTTGCATTTTTTTTTTATAATTCCTTTTTACTCCACTTGGGAGCTTAGGGCTTCTACAAGCGCTTTTCCACCGAACTCTATTTCTGGCCGTCTGTCTAGCTGTGTCCCATGTGATGTTGTTATGGGATAAATTCCTGAAGGGTGGTCTGTCGCCAGGTCCATTTCTCCTTTAAATTCTGCTAGCCTGGATGGTTCCTTTAGAGTTTCTCACGATCCATTGTTCGATTCTTGTCCGTTTTTGCCTATGTTTTGCATTGAGCTTTGTCGTATTGTTTTTTATGCATTTCAATATGCGAATCGCCTTTAGAAGTAAGTCTCTTAAAGTTTAAATATTGCTAAGCACTATTTGCATATCGAGTCGAGTAAAGAAAACGATATAAAGTGTTGTGGTAGATTTTTTTTTAGAGATTAGTAATCTGAAGAAATATTGTGCAACGTCAAATTTTTTAGTGCTTAAAGCCTGACAAGCCTTTAGGAGGCATCATCTATGTGTCTCGAAAAATTGCGCATACGCCGCATAAGCCGATGCAACGAAAGCTTTCGGCCACTCACAGGCAAATTAAGTGAAATGCTTTTAATTAGCGTTGGCAAAGAGGCACAAGCACAATGTGCAACATGCCGCAGGACAATAAACAACAATGGATGACTCTTTGGCCAGGCAGCAGGAGTTGTCGGTTCACAGACGGGCGGTCCGCGTTGCTAGTGGCTGTTCTGCCTTCGCCAGCATTGCAACAATTTCCATAGAGTGAAGTGAAAAAGTCCGAGGAGGTAGTGTAAATAAAATGCATTTAAAGGTAAAGAGGCATGGAGAGAGCTGGTCGAGGCAAAGTGGAACGCATACCAGGTTTGCGATTTCAGCGAAGATAGCAAATAGTATGCCATGGAACATTTTTTTGGGTCTACCAGTCTGTTCATAGCGCGGTTAGCCAATGGCTGGCCAATGTTGGCCATTTCACTTACCTTTGCACCCATTTGTAAGTGGGCATGGGATTGCCATCGGCCAGACACTCAAACGCAGCTGGACTGAAGAGTGGTGCGGTGGTTAGGCGGTCCGGACCGGCCGAAAGAATTTTCGGCGGAACTGCAAATTCAAAATTAACGTTTTGGCAAAGTTAGCAATAATAACAAAAGCGTTCAAGATAAATACGACTCACATTTCACATCCAACTGCACGGAGAGCTGCTCCGAAGTGCCCACCGAGTTCTGAGCCTGGCAGGTGTACAGACCGGCGTCTCGTCGTCCAACGGGGCGCAATTGCAATGTTTCCTGGGTGGGCATAAAAGGAAAGAGTAGAGTAGAGCAGAGCAGACGGCAACTTAATACAATTACAAATTTCTGCTACACTTAAGATAAACAAGCAGAAAAGTAGAAGAGCAAGGCGCACAAAATTTTGGACAAACATAAACAACGCCAACTGTCTGCCTGACTGTGCTTTTATGTGCTTTATATGTCTGTAGAAATTCAAGTACACTCTCAACAATTGTTGATAATACATTTTACTCACAATAGCCTTTATGTGCTTAATGATCAATATTTAACGTATTCTGGACTATGTAGAACATTTTCATTTTAAATAGATATGTTTTTTGAATTCAAACACAAAATATATTCACTGAAGTAAAAGTAATTGAAAAAGCTTAACTTAAATGTGTTGAGCTTGGTAAGACGGGCAAATGCTTTGATAAATTCATGAATTTAATGAAACTTCAATTAAAATCAATAGCAAGTCTATACAAAGGTATAGTATTCTGCCACAACCAACTTTTTATAGCATTAGTTGTAATGATGTTAGCAAGGATACATAAGATTTCAAAACTCATTTAGCTGTCGATTAAAAAATGTTTACAAGCACTCTTTTAAATCTGGCAGCAAAAACAGAAAGCGGATCCGAAAAGAATGCTGTCAATTAAACTTTAAATGCTTTTCACTTCACATAATGGCTCCAGTGAACAGACCAGTACTGAAAGCACTAGTAGCCCTAGATTGAAGACTAATTTTCGTAAATGTGTATCATCTACCAACAGTTTCTTGCTGACTACAAAAAGATATTATAGTTATTCTGATACTTACATTTAGAACAGTTTCATTGAATAGACTATTGAACTTGAACTTCTTGATCTTTGACATAAAATCCTTAGCTTTAGGAGGTATTTTTCTGAGTGCATCAAATATATATATGCCTTACCTGCAAGCTGGCTATTTCAGAGCGTCCGGCCCGACGCCAAACTATGCTGGCCGGCGGATTGGCATCGGCCACACAGCGCAGTACAAGCGCATCCTTATCCTCTTCCAAGTCGATTTCCGGTGAGCCAATTAGACGAATGGTTGGCGCGTCTGCAAGAGGAGTGGAGCAAGTAGTGCAGTGAAGAAGATGGTCGAGGAGAAGAATTAGAAGAAGAAGTTGAGTAAGCAAAACACAAGCAGAACAACAAGTCAACAAGCGACGGAAGTTGTTGGAACAGAAGCTAAAGCTGAAACTGAAGCTGAAGCAACTTGCCTCCAACTCTTGAATTGCTTAACAAAACAGGAAATTGCAGCAAATTGTAGTTAATTTAATTGTTACAGCTGTCTGAGCTTTGTCTCCCTCTTCCTTCAGCAGTAGTTTTTGACTTAAAGCCAAATTAAATGATGCCATTTAGCCCAGCTTGGCCCAACCAACTGATTTGTATGATGACACTCATACGCAGTTCATTGACTTGTGAACTTGCAGTTGACCATGCAAAAGTTTCTTTGATACCATCATGCAACACGATATTCTAGACAGAAGCAGAAGTTTGTGCAACTTTAAGGACTCTACGACCCAGTGAGCTGTGTAAGCTGCTCTACAAAATATTTATATACAGGGTGCGCCATCTTTTATGTCGGTATGTAAACATTGAATATCTTTGAAAATAAACAACCGATTTTCAAGTATGAGATATTTTTATTTAATTTGGTTCTGTACAATTTCTTCTTTCTTCTTTTCAACACTGGTCTACTCAAGTCAATCGGTTCACTAATGACAAAGTTATTCAATATTTACATACCGACATAAAAGATGGCGCACCCTGTATTTTATACTTAATCTCTTGTAGAACTATTTCAGAAATTTTCGTAAATATTACTTTTATAATTTTTAGCATTATTTTACTTCTAAACCATTCAAAATGAATTTCAGACTGCTGATTTTTTTTCAAGCTTACTGTTTTTTACAATTGAGTATATAATGGCATTATTAAATTTTAATGTAAGTCTATCTTATAAAGGTATCTTTGTAAATATGCTTTTGGCTTAATTACTGCCATTGTGTTTCAAATGTACGAAAATTAATTAAAATTCCAAATTTTATAAATAACAAGTGATCATATATCAGAATCAGTTTGACTTTGCAAATATTTAAATGAGTAACTCTTTTCTTTGTCAAGAAGCAAGAAAAGAAAACAGTTATTTAACTCAATTAAAAATTATTTAGAAATCGTATATACTTATAAACATAAGTATAACATGGACGAGTTACTGCAATGAAAGTAAATCTTTATATTGAGGCTAACGATAAAAATTAAAACCTAAACAAAAAACATTTGAAATAATTGCAAGCTTGTCCTTTTGTAAGAATTTTTAAATAATTTTTAAACACTTAATTTTATTGAAAGAATCACTTCCATCCATCAGAGCACCTTAGAAATACTACTTCTCTATGCTACTAGTTCCGACAAAACTGGTTTTTCCAAAAGCGATACATAGCATTATTGCCGTTTTTCTGGATTTCTTGTTGATTGTTGTTCAGTGCGATTCGTTCGATTAGTCAGATGGAAAAACTTACATTTGACATCCAAGCGTGCTTCAACCGGCACGGATTTGGCCGTGTAGGACTCGTGGAAGGCCAAGCAGCGTAGCATGTCGCCATGTCGCTCACGCATGGCCGACACCTGCACCACAGAGGTAGCAGACCAGGTGCGTGGATTATCCGGTTCAGTGACGTTCGTTTGCGGATGTATGGGCGAGATTTCCTGGTCGCCTGCACCAAAAACGAGAGCGACGAGCAAAATGAATGAAATTAATTAAAACGAAAATAGGCACTGGCTAGGGAGGAAGACAGGGAAGACAGTGCCTGCATTGGGGACATGCGACTGGGGCATGACAACAGCAATTAAAGGATAACAACTGCAGTTGTGGCTTGCACCGACAGTACTTACCCAAATACCATTTGAGTGTTGCCGGCGGATTACCATAATGTGAGACGCATTTGACTGTCGCCACAGCGCCGGCATCGACGGTGATGTTCTGGCCCGGCGGCACGTGAATGCCTTCGTATTCGAGACGTGGACGTTGTGGCGCCACTGTTGGACAGAGAGGATGCAAGTTGAAAGACAACATGACATGTACGGATTAGTTGTGTGGCTTTTTGTGTTGAGCAATGCATTTTAATTAAAATGCATACAACAATTTCGGTTAGGAAAATTCATCTATTTGTAAAGTCAATATAGAATGAATGCAGAACAGTTGGATATTAAAAATGTTTACATTCAAATTGATTTTAATTAATTTGAATTTATATAACTTATTACTGCCAAAACAAATAAGCATAAAAGTACCCTGGCGTTGGTAAGTTAAGGATCCCAACTAGCAGAATCCCAACTAGTAAAGCAGACAGTAACCAAATGAAAATTTAAGATAACAGTTTATAAACATACATTTTTAATTATTTATTTTCCATGACTGCTAAATACTATGACGAAATATTGCGAAAGTAAAATGGACTGGAAGCTAAAGTCGTTGGCAAACGGGATTAGGAAGATGAATCAAATTATTTGCATTTATGGTTTAAAAGGGAATTAAAATAAAAAAGGATTCAAAGCATTCAAATCGAATTTTTTGCACATTTGTGCAAGAAGTTATTTTCTCCACATTTGGGCATATTGGAAAAGTAAGCCAAACTAAATTGAATTAAAACCCGAATACTTATAATTTGAATATTGTCAATGAAAATATAATTAAATTTAAAGTGAATGTTATATATCTTGTGTTTGCTTTGCATTCAAAAATGAGAAAACATACAAGTATATTCAAAGGTCTTTCTTATTGGCACTTCAAAATTAATAAATATTTGTTCACTCAGACTAAATAGTTTAAGAGTATAGGCAATGGAATTAGTTCATACTTAATGCGGATGAAAGGGAGAAAATGATTTTATTTATAAATTCCGTAGGTATGCTAATTGATAAAGTTTGAAAGCGGACATTTCCTTACAGAATGACTTAAGATCAAGTGTTGTTTGTATATAAATAAATTTCTAAAGTGCTTGGCATTTAAAGTGTAAATGAAGAGAGACTTGGTAAACCCTACTCTGATGTCTGGCATTTGTTAATTGAAAACCCAAAAATCAATTAGACCCAAACACGAAATAAAAACATCATTAATTATGCGTAGGGAGACGTTCGAGAAGGTTTTTTCTGTTCTGTTATTCTTTATTTGTTTTTTGTGTTTTTGGACTTGTTTTGGCTCACTTACCACGTACAACCAATCGCACCGGTTGACTGGTCAACGCATCCTGTGTGGTAAAATCACTTGCCGTCACTTGACACTCCCACAGGCCATCATCAAAGTCCAGTGTGGCCGTGCGTATCCACAGGGAGCAATCGCCGCCAATTTGCATGGGCGGCGGATGTAAGTCCAAATGTAAGACATTGCCATTGCCGCTAAGCGGACGTGCGGCCCATTCGTATTTCTTTGCATATATGCCAACGGGCTGCAATGACAGAGGAGAGAGAGAGAGAGAGAGAGGGAATAGATTGCATTAGCATTGGCAGTGGAAACAATGTAGTATGTACGATAGGGTTTGTGGTCGAGTATAATGATGATGGGGATGATGGTAATGGCTATGCTGATTCTGATGGTGAAGGCGTGTGTTGGCCGATGTCGGTGGTCAGATGAACGACATGTTTAGCATGTTTAACTTTGCAGTGCAGCCAGGCGTGTAATTTTTGTCTAGGATTTGCACACACTGACACACACACACACACACATACACACACTCTCAAACACATATAAAATATACTCGTAGTAGCATGGATAGGCAGCGAGACGGACTGCATGGATAGGCAGAGAACACGTCTCACATGAGCTGAGTTGCTTTCGCATGCAGTCGCTGCTCAGTCTATTGACTGTGACTGACCCACGCGCCCCCTGCCCCTTGCCCCTTGCCCCATGCCCCTTCCCCTTTGCCCCTTGCCCACAGCCTTCGTGCCCTTTCAACTACGTGTCGTTTAACTCCATTTGCAGTTGACGTCGTCGTCGTCGTCATAGTAGTTGTTGTTGGTCCTGTTGTTATTGCTGCTACCGCTACAGCGTCTAAATTGGTATTAGTTTGTTTGCTAATTGGAAATTAAATTACAATTAGTGATCTTTGAGCGTGGCATCGTTCGCATTTAAGTATTTATGCGCAGCGCTTTTTGTCCTGCTGGCGCCAGCCATTCCAATTGCTGGGCTAATTGCATTCTGGATGGTTGGCTGCTCGGCACTTGTCTGCCTGTTAGTTTAGTCATTGTATGCTGGTTGAGTTGCCTGGCATTCAATGGGTTAAATTAATTGTTCCACTGAATTTATTTAACAATTGCAAGAAAATGAAAGCAAGAAAGCAATAGAACACAAGTGTGGAAATTATTGCCGTTCGTGCAAAACAGTAGGCTGTCGAAAAAGCAAAACTAGTAATGGTTTATTTCTCCTTTTCTTACTGGTTTTTTAATTTGAGGAGAAGGAAAACACATTGCCAAAGTTTCAAAAAATCGTTCACATATTGTTATCAAATTGTATAACTTTTTATTTAATTAATTAAAAATTCCTTTAACTGTAAAATATTCTTTTCCTTTGGAAAACCGCGAACACCAAAATGTGTCAACTTATGATGTTTTTTTTCGCTTCAGGTAGAAATTCCTCTAAATTATACCTTAAACTACAATTTTAAGCTCTTGATGTTTTTGGCAGACACAAAAAATATGACCGAAAATATCAGGTAAGTATTTAGAAATAGTTGTGTATTAATAAATGATGATTTCTAAAGATTTAGGAACTGATGTATGTATATTAGGAAAGTGTATTATTTTTTGATGGTCTTGCATATCTCGTTGATCGCGATTGCTGTTAACGGTTAATCAATTTAAAATTAAGGCAAGTAAAAATTGTTTTCTATTTTTAAAAGGATAGTGTGGAATTACTGGGGTATGTTGTTTGCTTGCAATAATGCTGAAATACTTGTAGTATAGTTTTATTGTAGGACACAGTAGAATATAACATTTCCGCTCATTTATTTTGTCAGGAATACATATTTATTTTAAAGTGTAATGTTGACATCGTGTTTTCATAAAGAATTTCAACTTATACCTGAGTACATTTTTATTAATAATTATTTTTGGATTCATTTTCAAATCAAAACATATGAATTTCTTAATAGTTATTGAAAGAGGTATTAAGAGACTTGTTTATTCTTTGTTGTAAAACAACAAATTGTGATATTTAAATAGAATTACATCAATTGATTAAAATGCAATTATTCTACCACCTGCAAAAATATTTCAAATTGCTGCGTTAGCATTAGGCGGCACTTGTCGGCTGCCTTGACTGATGCCTCACACATTGGGGTTCAACATTTATTGCAGTAATTTATTGCAACTGATGAATGCCGTGAATTTGCAGTTGCATACCACTAGCATCACATTGCTAGACGATAAAATATGGCAATAAATTTCATTAAAGAGACTGCAAGCGTACAGCCTGGGCTGACATAAATAGCATACCTTTCATCGGCTACCGATGCATAAGAGTACAAATAGGCCACAATGTTTGTGTGTCCGCATGTAATTACACAAATATTCAACTGAGCTCATCAAATACAATATTTTGTAATCCAACTATATTAAATTTAGTTTGTGCTTGCTGCCTATTTTGCATCTCTGCTAAATGCACAAATAATTTAAATATGATTTCATTTTGTATATGAAACTGCCCTTGGCAAATCTGCACACTGTACATGTCTGGCCACAGAAATAGTTTTATATCTGAAACATTTGGCTGTGTTATCTCTGGCAAGCCATCAAAATGCATGTGCCATACGTCCAATGGCCTGGCGACCAAGGGTTAAACGACTGTCAAACCCTTGCGTTAACAGAAAAAAATCTGTTCAATATACCAACTCTGTCCAACTGCCAAAATAACAATTTCGAGAGCCAGCAAATATTTTGCGGTTATTGTTGCTGTTGTTGCTGTTGTTGCTGTTGTTTGTGGTAACCACAGCAACTGCTGCCAAACTAAACTAAACTAAACAAAACAAAACTAAAATAAAGCTAAGGCAGCCCAAGCAAACGCCCAAATCGATACTCGTAGGAATATGAATATCATTTTCCATATTTGCAGATGCAGTATGCGCTGTGTGTTGTTGATGTTGTTGTTGTTTATGTTTGCCATAAAAATGCTCTATACCAAAATTATGTATATTCGAATAACTCCGACTGAGACTAGCCTACACATGTATGTGTCTGTGTGTGAAGCAAGGCTTGGCATGTAGCTGGCATCGTAAATATATAGAAAACACCCTGTCTACCGATAACCATGACACACACACACACACACACATACATCAACGAAATTGCAAGCAAATATATCTGAGTAATGCCGTTATTCAAGAACTAGTTCAAACGAACGCTTTTATAATTGCATCAATGATTCGATTTCCACAAAAACTTTTAAATATTTTTTTCGGTGTAATTTGTATTCAAAAGTATTAAAACGAAACACCGACCCTATTGGTTTCATACGAAAAAATATCAATTTAATATATAAATGATTATTATTATCAATTTTATAAATGAACGCCACAATTCGTAGCCGAAGAGTTTAGAGCTTAGTTTGAAATTAAATTAAATTGAAAATCACTTCTATAGATTTTCTATATAAATCTTTTATAATATTGATAACTGGAAGTATTATTATAAGGATAGAATATTTTTAAGTAATGAACTGCGTCCAAAAAAGTGTTCTACGGTGTTTCTAGTAGTTATGTGTGTTCTTCGCTCAATCTTGTTGGTATTGGATTTGTATTTTTTTTTAATATTTTCCTGAGTGTTACTATATTTTATATAGTATAAATTGTATGACCCACAGTTCTGGAGAACATTTTGGGTGAACGCATTAACAGACTGATCATTGCATGTTTTGCATTGAATAGATTTTTAAGGATTTTTGCGAACTTTATCTCCATGAAAATAAAAGACCTTGAAGTCTTCAACATTTACGCTAGAAGTTTAAGCTGTAAGTAAGTCCCACATGCGAATCGATTAACGAACATTTTGTGGTCTGGACGCTACAGATAATTGCGGACGAACTTTAAAAGACTTTGGTTTCTAATGCACGTAAAGCAGGCTTGCAGGAATTCGAGTTGAATGCAATTTCAATATTTTTCGATTTCATTTTTGCATATATCTTTTTTTTTGTAGAACTCATTGATATAAATGGCACACCTTTGCTATTTATAGAGCATATTTATACTTGTATATCGAACGAGTGCTTCGGATTAAAGTGCTGGAGCATGAGCCTCAATTAAAATGCAACTGGCAAGCCAACAACACTCTGCAAACACCCAATCGCACATTCGTCCAAATGTACACATTTGAAATTGTCTGCTTATGATAACGACATGTAAAATATATGAAAAACTACCAGACGTAAACGGCATTGCAAAAATGGGAGCAAAAGCCAAAAATACATACACACTCTTACGAGTATACGGAAAATGGGAAAAATGGGATAAATATGCAAAATATAAGTATAATTTTAAATGAAAGCCAAACAGCAGTGACTGTCTGTATGCATGTGTGGTTGTCTGCATATGTGATTGCGCATGTGTGTTTGTGTATGTATGTGGAAGAAGGACACTCGATGCATGCAAATGTTGTTGGTGACTGTCGCCGTTGCCAGTGTTGCCAGCAACACAAAGCATTGTAAACATTTAAGTATGCAATGCAAAGCGCTGCGATGCGCAGCATATGAAAAAGTACATTTGAAATGCTTTTGTGATTTTTGTCATGCAGCGCAACCAACATGATCTTTGGCCTCCCCGCCGTTTGCATGCATTTGCATAAACAACTACAATAACAAAAACAGTAATAATCACAACAAAAGTGGTATAAGCAGCAGAAACAGCAACAGCAACCGAAGCAGCAGAAGGCAATACATCGACTGAATAGTGCTGTGAAGTGAAGTTGAGTGGATATCTGAAGAGTAAGCAAATAAAAGATATACCAGCAAGGCACTCACACACACACAATTGCCATGAATACGAAGTGGAAAAGGCACCGACAACAATGGCAATGCATGTGACAGGCGCAAGTTGCAGGTCGAATGATAAAATAGGCAATACTTGACATCGACATTAATTACAAGGACTGCAAAATGGTACTATTGATGGCTTAGATACTGAGCTAGAAGTCTTTATTGTAAGCTGCTTAGATGCAGACGCCTTTAAATATTTGTATTTGGTGCTGCGCAGTTTGAGAGTTGAGACTTCGCTGTCTATTGCATCTTTCATCTAATCCTTTAAAGTATCCTTATATTATTTGGCTTGCCTAAAGTGTAATTAGTTGCCAAACTTTGTTTTTTAAATTAAATGTGATGTCTGTTTGAGTGATAGGTACGAAATTTTAGCTAAAATATCAATAGTATGCACAAAATCGAAATTGATTGATGGGTTCGTTGAAAGATATCAACTGGTAGTCTCCTATTTATATACCTCAAAAATATTTTTTATGGATTGGATGTAAACTATGGCTTTTGACAAATAAGATGTTCCCGATATCATGAACAAGAAATACTGCCGCTGATAACTTCTTTTTTACGATCAGCTTGGCATATTAATTAGAAAATCGAATGACAATCTTAACAGTATCTTTTAGTATTACTGTAAAAAAGCACGGTGTAAATATAAAAATTGCGTTTGCTACAAATTTATGTTAACTTTTTTTATATATTGACAAAAAGCTGCATTTCTTAAAAAGCTCAAAGTCTTTTGGAACTACTTATGAAAATGTTATTTTAAACGCTTTTAATACGAGAACTTAATTTTCAATACATCTTGTAAAACTTGGGAAAATTAATAAAACAGTTTTTGGGAAAGCTTTCGTCAAAACGTATAAGAAGGAGACAAATTTTAAACTAAGAGAATATTTGTTTCAATATTTGTCCCATCATCTATATTAAATTTTCCAACCTCCGATATAATTTAAATCACTCCTTTAAACGTTCCGCCCTAATATCTTAGAAGCCTTAAACGTTTTGAATTTGTGCAGATTTTCTGGTGATTATCCGATTAAATTTGTTTTCTCTATTTTCGAAAAGGCGAAATATGCAATTTTCCTTGCAAAATATTCGTTTTGATTAACAAGAAACCTTACTCTATTTGGATAGCAAATTTGAGAAATTTTCGAAAGGAACTCTATTATCATGGTAAAATAATAGCACGAAGTATGCTTCTTAATTTAAAAGAAAACGTAGCTCCCTATTTGAACAGCAAATTGAGAAGTTTTCGTAAACAACAAACGAGTTTTGGCCTCTCTTCTATGATGGTAAATTAGTAGCTCGAAAATTTGGCCACATTATACATAGCTGGAAAAATAACAACAGACGCCGCAACAACAATTCAGATACACGCAAAGGCTGGCAGCAATATCACAAAATAAAAATATTGTATAAAAAATATTTTTGCATCTAAGGAAAGGTAAGGAAAAGCAAAACAAACTTAATTTTCTTGGCTGCCTTGGCCTCCTGAAAAACGAGAAATTAAATGAAAATTGCATATTCTGTTGGCTTTCATTTGCTTATGCTGCTTCACTCTAGCTATGTAGTTCTGGGTTGTTGCTTGGCTCTAGCTCGTCTCTCTACTGTTCTAACTGCCGGCATTGTTTTTAATGCCCTACAAGAAGAAAGTGTTTTAAACTGTTGCACAAGTTTGTAACAACCACCACACTACAAACTAATTATTTAAGTAAAGTTTTTTTTAAAATACTTAACGATGAAGAAACATAACGTAATAATAGAAATAATTAGTAAAAATCTAATATTTCAACTCTGATAGAAGAAATGCAATGAATTTAAATAAATTAGGTCCAAATACTAAATTATTTATGAATATGATTATTTGATTGATTGATAAGATAAAAACAATTTCAATTAAATAATATCTATAATTTTGTAATAAATGACTTAAATTATTAAAAATCAAACCCCTTTGAAATGCATTGAAAGTAAACTTTGTGCCTTTGGGGAAAATTTAACTAACTACATTTTTAAGAATATTTACTGATTAGCTGAAACTTATTTTTGCAAACTTAAGCATGAAATAACTTTTCAATTTCAAAGAGTATTTTAGCTTCGTTGAAGTGAAGGCACCTTAAAGTTGTTTGTTTCATGTCTACCTTTTCTAGTTTGCTGGTGATTTTGTTTATGCGCTTTCTCATGCATACATATGAGCTTTTAGCCATGTCTGGTGGCTTTGTTTGCCTGACCAAGAAGAAGCTTCTGAAATGTTCTTGTTTTAATAAAAATAATTCTAAATATAAGCTTAATTTTGCACAACAATTTTGCAGCAGCTAGTTTTTCTTCCTTTACTCCATAGACAAACTAAATATATATACATTTCATTTCAGTATCTTCACCTATTAGTTGAGCACACTAATTGAGTCACTCGTCCAGTCTGCCCAGTTCTCACGCATTTTCGATTAAAAGTTGACTGCCTGGCTGCCATCAGGACTTACGCACTTACGGCAAAAAGGGAAGTTGTCTGCTTGGGGCGCATATCAAAGGCTGTTTCTATTGACTCACATTATTGGCTTGCCAGGGCGTAAATTACTTTTGGCAGACACTTTGTGCACAAGCAGACGTGTGTGCCTGTGTGTGGGTATGGTTGTGTGCTGGTAGGCTGCCAAAAGGCAACACTTAATTGAACCGCAAGACGCGCAGCGCATGTGAAATGAAGCGCACGTTTGGGTATCATGTGTGTGCCTGTATGCTATAAGTTATGGCTTATAACTTTAATGAAAATATTTATAAACTTTCGGGAATGTGATGACATTGTTGCTATAATTACCTTGTTATCCTTTTGCCAGGAGCATGAGCCACGTTTATCGATTACTTTGCATGTGAGGAGTGCATCCTGACCTGGATTCACTTCAGTGTACATTGGCTGTTCCGAGAACCGTTGAAAGCATTCAATTCCTGGAATCACAAGCAAATGAAACAAAAATGAGCACACGAGCATAGTTAATGAATAGGGGGGGGGGGGGGGGGCGAACAACAGAATGTACCTGACATTGTTTCTGTCATTTGCTGGGAATTGTACCCATTGGTTGGTTATTCAATTGAATTGAATTGAATTTCTAATCGAGTATAATGTTATAAGAATAAAATCGAACATGGCAATTGATTTATAAAGCCAAGTTTTTAAATAAGATCATGTTTAAAGGCTTTGCGCATTAATTGTAATTATTATGCTACGTATATGTATGGGCACTAGAATTGGTGCTTTAAGAATTTTGCAAAATTTCCACAACTTGTAAATAGTAAAGGTAACAAACTTAACAACAATCGTATATGCTAAATTTAATAAATAGATGTAAGTATATATTGAGGATAATAGTTCCATAAAACGAGCACCTGTCTATTCTAACTTATAACGACTGACACGGCTATGGAATTCTGCTAATAGCTTCCGGTTATCGTTGCCTATTATTGAGCAAAACTTTTCATTACTTTACTTCAAACGTAAGCGAAATGTTCAGAAGATTATTTACAGTTTTTATGAAGAAATTTGTAGAAAGTTTCTGTCATTAATATATTTTAATAAATTAAAGCCTTTTTATAATTACTTAACCCGCAACTCTCACGAATGTGTCATTACGTTTACGTGATGTTTTCTGCTGGAATTCATTGTCCTTGCAAACCTTCATTATTGTTTTTTTGTTTGGTACAGCATCAATATTTATTGTTACGACAATGTTCTCGTTTGGTACGCGTTTTTGCGAAAACAATTGCGTTGACATTATCTCGAACTAACGTGCCGCGCATGTAAGTATGCTACACTTGTCATAAACTACAGTTCCCCCTGGGCCGCTGGCGCTGGAAAGTATGCTACATTTTTTTAATATTGCGCAACCGCCACGTTGCATTTGTCACGCACACCAATGAGTGCCCGCACTTTTGCAATTTGCTTATCTTTGTGCACATGACACGCCCCCTCCCTTTTCACATTCGCCTCCCGCCCCAGAGCCTTCATTATCATTTCAGTGGGTTGGCTGGTTCTGGTAATTTCTTCTTTTACTCTCCCCATTTGTTTTTGCGTCAGTTCGGGTGCGAGAATTTATGTTAATTGCATGGCATGTTAAATATTTTTCTTCGCACTTGCACTCAATTACACCAATTACAGGTGGAAATTACACGCGCTGCTTGCGCAAGATAATGCTTTGCAATGGCGCCGGTTAGAAGCAAGGAGGGGCACGGGATGGCTGGTTACTGTGCGTGTATGTATCGCGTGGGTGGGCGGGGCATGGCAATGGCATCTTAGTTGTCCGGGCTTGGTGCATAAGTGTGAGTTAGTAAGTGACTGAGTGCGTGGGTGTGCAGCTCAAGGGCGCAGTAAGTTAACTTTAATCGCCAGGGCGTGCTCCGTTGATTTGATGGCCATGCACATTCAGCACCTGGCTAAGAGGCTTTAAAGGAGTGCATTATTTTTACTTTAAAATACGCATGAGATATTGACCAAAATATATTTAATCCAATGGAAATAATTTTCTAAAAGTATAAGTTTCAGCTTTAAATGGTCCTGCCCTGTATTTTTTTTACGATTTACGGACTGAAGATGTTACACCTCCAACCCAAGGTATGGTTGTGTATTATAGAAAGGACAGTTTTTTTGTTATTAAACGCTGATATGTTTGCGTAAAAAAATACTTTCTACTAAATGCTGAAAAAGCAAAAAGGAACTCATTTTTTAATTAAATGGAATATCATGCACCTATTCGCAATATAACGTTTCAAATATAAGTGAAGATTGATGGTGGAGAAAACCGTCCAAGTAAACACTTCAATGCCAATTGTTGTATATTCCTTAGCAAAACTAGAAATTTTACTCAAAGATAATGAAATTTAATATTTGTTTCATTTAATTTGTATTCTCTTTAAATTAATTTGGAATGTTTTATTCAGATTTAAAAGGGGTTAAGTCGTTAACTTACATTACAGTCCCTATCTATGATGAAGAATTTGTTTCATACTGCATCATTGTATTTGGAAAATAATATAGTGGCGAACATTTAATTAGTTTGACGTTAAAGTATTTGGTTCAGCCTTTACAGTTTATACAGTTTATGAATACAGTTCAAATATAACTTTTGTAAAATTAAACATGCTTTCAACTTTCGTTTGCAACATGCTCCTCTTCGAAAAACAGTTAAAACATAATAGCCCCTAGTCTTCACTTGACTTGACTTAACCTTTCCAAAGTTAATCAACGATGTTGAAATTTAAATGCATGCTTGCATATTAAAACAGAATGTTATAACAATTCCGTTTATTGTTTTACGCTTTCTGATTTCGTCCTGTTACCTGGCCACAGTTGAGTCGAAGTTGTGTCTTGTGCAAACAGCCAATAAATAAGTATAAGCAAATAAACAAACAAATAAACGCGTGTATGGCAGTGTCAGTGAGTCACCGTGTAAAGCCATCGACGTCGTTGGTGTTGGTATTGGTGTTGTTGTTGTAGCTACAGCTGCGTGTGCCGGCAACACGTGACCAACATTTGCAAAGCACGCGCTCACCCTTCATATAAAAGCCGACGCCATTTTTGACATGGCAACCACTACACATCCTCATACTCTTGAAGATACACATACGCCACACATACACACACACACATAAACGCTCACACATTCACTCATGCAATGATTTATTACGCGTGATTGGCGTGATTGCCACTTTGCTGCTTTATTTCATTTTCCCATTGTTGGCGCTGGTTCGTCAATGCTGTTGTTGTTGTTGTTGTTATTTTACTGCCTCCGTCCCCATATCCTGTGTTTGCGTTTTATCGCTTTTTGTGTATAAATTGGCTTTGTATTTCAATTACGATGCGGGCGGCCTTCAATCGAACGCCGCGCCGCTTCACGCCCATCGCATTGCATTCCCGCCGCCGGCCATATTGCCTTACATGTGGCCGGCCATTTTGTCAGTATAGGCAGCAACAACGTAGACCTGTCAGAGTTGCCATTGCATCGCATTGTCTGATTTATATGCCAATGGGTATATGACATTGTCATAGCACAGTTTTTGGCCCACGACTTTGTTCTCTAATTGCAACAAAGCTTTCGAATGAAAGCAAAAATCCCAAATGCGTGCCTCAACAATTGCTGTGCCACTTAATTGGAATGCTTTGGAGGTGGAGGTGCAGGTTTTGGCCACAGACAACGCCCATAAATGTAAATAAAGAACTGACAATTGTTGTGAGAAAAAATAACGAAAGAATAGAATAAAGCGGTGACGGCTGTTTGCATTCAGCAAATACAAATATTAAAAAATAAATAGATGCCCCTCTAGTGTACAGCGTTGAAAAATGAACTGAAAACTGAACTTCAATCAAACAAATGCGAAATTCGAATGCTCTAATACAAAAGCATTCTCTATTTACGAACGATTATTCATATAAGTAACTAATTAAGAATTTTTACAAATTACTGAATTTTTTCCTATAATTTTTTGTTACAATTTTTTAAAAGATATGTAATGGAAGATTTTACAATCTATTTGAACCAGCAACTGGCTCCTACCGTAGCCCTGGTCTCTGGTAGTCGAGGGATGCAATAATATCGTTGATATTCGAAATTCCTTTCCGATCATTGGCTCGTTAAGTACAGAGAGCTCGAGCTGAACAATCGAAATTAGTGGAGTTTGGTGTATGTTCCGGAAGAGTTTGAAGTGTTGATGATTCAGTTGATGTTGTTTGTTTAAAAATGCTATAATTAAATTTCCTATATTTTATGTATTTTTTATTTGCATAGTTTTTTATTCAGTTATTATAAAGTGCAATTAAACTTTCAATCACTAGACGTTGTCTTCTTCTACTGCTATCTGCGTGAATGCATTCAAGAATATCTTCTCAAATAGTTTTTTTTTATAAAGTATGACTGCGTGCCTCTTTGTACCGAGTTCAGAAAGTAAAGCATATTCCTTGAATTGGTTTTAGTCTTTATACTTTAATTTATGTGAACTTTTAAAATTTTTAATTTATATAATGAGTTATGTAAAATGAATACTTCATTCAAAGTTGATCTTCTGCTATTTAACAACTTCTGTAGTTCCTGTTTTAAACAACAATTTGAAGCAATTTCTTAAAATAAAAGTTCTAAAAGCTACCATCAAGCTTAAGTAGCCTTTGATTCTTAGGAACATTTATATTATTAGGTTTAAAATGTATCTAGTTTTTTGAGTTTGGTTGCATATGTATGGTAAAATCTTCAGTCCAAAAAGTTACGGACAGATCTATGTAAGTGATTTAAATTTTTCATTAGTTTTAAATAAGCATTATTGATGGAATCTAAATAAGTTATACTGCACTCTTTGTGAGGGTAAAAGAACAGCTCAACCATAACCGAAAATATCGCGGTGGCATAAGTATATAGCCATCAGGAAAAAGGAGAACGGAAGCTGCGACCGCGGCCCCAAACAAACAATGGTGGCAGAGACAACAAAAACAGCATTAGCTCGAAAGTTGGTAGAAAGTGTGTTCTGCAGAAGAGATTACAAAGGGAACTGTGAGTGTGTGTGTGCGTGTGTGTGAAGCAAGAAGAAATAGCTAGAGAAGAGGAGCAGAACAGCATGAAGCAGCAGCTGAAAAATGTGGCGGGGGGTACAGGGGGTACCTATTGCAATTTTACTTGCTGAGGTTGTCTCCTAACTGTGCTCTCTCCCCCCGCTAACCCGCCATCGGTTTTAAGAGCGTGCCGTCGAGTGCTGCTTATGGCGCTGTTTTGCTCGCATTGTTGTTGTTTTTCTTATTGTTGTTGCTTCTATTGTTTTTGTTGTTGCTGTTGGTTCCATCCTCGTTCTGCTGAAAGTGGCGTTAGTCGCTTTGCTGTGGTGCTCATCTGCGCGTCGCTTCGTGAGTTTCGAGTGCCTGCCTACGTGCCTGCGCACTGCCAACAAGGATAACAATTACTTTAGTAGCTTAC